CATGATCAGTGATGCCCAACATGCACGCCAGACCTAGTCATTAATTATCTCTCCGTCAGCCCGAAACGAGTCGAGCATACAACTAGAACATGTCCAAAATGACCGCCTTCCCGTAATCTGCCTCCTCCTCAGAACCATTAACTAGTTATGAGCACACCTGCCCATTTTGACCGAGTCCTAGCAGTTACCTATTTTTATGGACCCACATATCTAGGACCAAAAATAGGGACATGTGGCCAAGCGTCGGGGGAATTATATAAACCCTCACACATGTGAGGGCCAGATATCCAATATCCAGACCTTAAACCCAAATATTCTGCTTGTATCTCTTTGCACTTATTCTTACTTGATCTTCAAAGTGCCTTGCATGTACAATCCCATTTTCTCCTCAACTTTCCATCAAGCCAGATCTCGTCCTTTGGCCCATTTGCAGATTCTGATCAACCGGTAAGATCACATGCTCTCATTTAGACCTCGAACTCAAACAGTTACAGGGAGCATTTTAGCATTCAAGCGGCCATGTCCGGTCACTCGAGTAACTGTTTTATAGGTTGGTCGGTTTGCACAATGATCGTGTGGGCCAATAAGTAATGTCTTAGTCTCCTCGCCGCGTTGATGAGGGCCAAAGCAAATTTTTCGATTTGTTGATATCTGACCTCGGGGCCTTGTAGCGCTTTGCTGGTAAAGTACACATGCTTCTGCCCGTAAGTGGTTTTGCACACGAGGGTGGTGCTCACGGCCTCAGTTGAAATGACCATGTAGAGGAATAGGGCTTCCTCGTTCTCAGGTCGTGAGAGCACGAGCGATTTTGAAAGAGCTTGCTTGAGGTGGAGGTGGGTTTTTTGCACTCCTTGGTCTATTCAAATGCTGCCTCTTTGCATAAGAGTTTGAAAAGTGGAATGGCGTATTGTGTGGATTTTGCCATGAAAACGGAGAGCGAGGTGAGCATACCGTTCAAGATTTATATGGATTTTTTTAGTCTGGCATAGAGAGCTTAGAGAAAGCCCTGCATTTGTCAGGGTTGGCTTTGATCCCTCGTTCTGTCAAATAGAAACCGAGGAACTTTCCCGCCTTAGCCCCGAAAGTGAATTTTTCTAAGTTGAATCTCATCTTGCATCTCCTTTCCCGGTCGAAGACTCTTTTTAGGTGGGTTGTGTGATTGGCTTCCGCTCGAGACATGACGATCATGTCGTCCATGTACACCTCGAGCGTGTCCCCGATCTCGCCTGGAAAAACCTTGTTCATCATTCACTAGTATGTTGCGTCTGCATTTTTCAGGCCGAAGGGTATTACATTGTAGTAATAATTTCCCGACTCGATCATGAAGGTCGTGCATTGCTTGTCGCTCATTGACATGGGAATTTGATTATAGCCTGAATATGCATCCATAAATGGTCGAGTTGTCGACCAGCCAGTTAATATTAGGTAAATGATATGCATCTTTGGGACAGACGACCTCAAGGTCGAGTCCGTGCATCTCCACAGTACTCCATGCAAACAAGTCAGCGTTCTCCCTCAGACATGCTTTGAGCTTCTTCCTCGCAAGATTGGGGAGTCCAGCTCCAATCTTTGCGCCTTTTTTGGGTCCTTTCCGAGGAGGATGGTTTCAAAATCTCAATCGAGAATAGGACAGAGGGGATCCTTCTCGCCATTGGGGACTTCAACTTTATCTTTGGTGAATCGGGTGTCGAGGTTGATGGAGTTGACATCGGGCGGAGCCTCCCGTTCTTCAATTCGAGCAGGCTTGGACGAGAAGGGGGTTGTTCCATTGACAGTCTTTGGCTTCGTGTCGACCATGCTCTGCCACTTTACGACCGTGTTGAAACATCTCCTCGCAGCTTGGATGTCTCTGTGGATGGTGGCGACGCGACCCCTATTCATGTAGAACTTCATCTTGAGGTGAACCGTGGAGTGCACAGCGGTCAGCTTGGCTAGCGTTGGTCTTCCCATAATGTAGTTGTAAAGAGATGGGAAATCGACTACTAGGAAGTGGACTTTGAACTATATGGAAGCTGATTCTATCCTTAACGTGACCATAAGCTCGACATAACTCCATAGTTTGGAAGTTAGGCCATTGAAGACTTGCAGGTCAGACCCCATGTAAGGTGATAAGTGGGGTCTGTTGAGCTGCAGGGTCTGGTACAACTGAGTGTACATGACATCGACGGAACTCCCCCGTCAACCAGGATCTAGTGGACATCGAAGTTGGCTATCTTCGCCCGCACGAGAAAAGGAATGTGGGAGTTGGGAGCTCCACCTGGGAGTTCCTCGAGGTAGAAGGTGATGGGCTCGGATTTTCCACGGAATCTGTCAAGGCTGACAGTATGGACCAGGGTCACATATATCAGCTCCTCGAACTTCCTTTTCACTGAATTCACAAAGAGAGTGTTGAATCCCCCTCCAGAAATGACCACAGTAGTGGGGATTCTCTCCCATCTTCTATGGGTAAAAAAATCCTCTTCCTCGACATTGTCAGGGATATATAAATCCTCGGGTCGCGACACAGACATGGCAACTTGGTGCGAGCCGGTTTTATCAAAGGGTCGAGCTTCCTCCTCGATCTCTTTCACCTCACGAGTGTTACGGTGGGGGCGTTATTCTTCTTGTACTGCCCGAGTCACCCTACCTTGATGAGAGTCTCGATGGCATCCTTCAAGTGGACACATTCTTCAGTGACATGGTCATGGTTCAGTGATACTGTCAGTACTTGGTCATGTCGACCCCGGTCTTGGAAGGCGTAGGTTTAGGTCGACGAACTCCACCTTCTCTGAATTTAGCATTAGCGTAATCTGCAAGGATGCACTCGCGGGTAGCAGTCAGAGCAGTGTACTCGGTGAAACACCCGGTTGGTCCTCTATGCTCGCGAGGGTCTTGAGGCTTTTCATCCCTTCTCTTCTCATCGGGACATCAGGGTGGTCATGTGTCATTATGCCTTGGGGCACTAGGTGTTCTGCGGTTCTTGGATTCACGGACATTCTTGGCAGCCTCCTTCTTCTTGTATGTTATGTAAGCTTGGGCTTTATGGAGGAGGCGATCGAACGACCTCAGGGGCTCGATGCCAACTACTCTATGAAATTCACTGCCCGAGAGAAGGCCTTTCTTGAGTAGATATCTCTTTATACGATTGGTGGTTGGGACCTGGACGGCCTTCCGATTTAACCAGTCATTGTAGTCTCGGAGAGGTTCGTCCCTCCCCTGGATAATTGCCTCAAGGGACGCCTCAGTCTTGGGGTGTCACTGAAAAGCTGCTGGCGAACCGGTTCTTCAGGTTTTTCCAGGAGGTGATGGACTCACCCTTGTACTAGTCCATAGCAGTTTTCCTTAAGGTTATGGGGAACAACCTGCATTTGATTGCGCCCCTGACATTGTGGAATTTGAGCATTGTTTCGAAGGCGTCGAAGTGGTCATTAGGATTCGTAAAGCCGTCGTAGCTGCTCAGAGGTCGGGGATTCTCCATTCCCTTAGGGATAAGAGCCTCCATAATGGCTTGGAATAGTGGACCGCGGAGGTCATCTTCCTCTTCTTCTTCGCTTAGTTCGGGGGATTGAGACAAGGAGAAATCGTAGGGGTGTCTTCTATGTCGAGGAGGACTCCTCGACTGAGTTTTCTTTTCATCCTTCCCCTTGTCCCATTTAGGAGCTAGGGAACGTCGTTCTTTACGCGGAGGGGTGTGGTCGCGCTTCTTGATAATTTCCTATTGAATCCTCTCCAGTCAAGGGCGTCGCCCGGTACGAAGGGGAGAAGGACTGCGAGAATCTCCCAGTTGGTGTCTCCGTAGAGGAGATCGTGAACAGGAATCCTGTCGTCGAGGAGATGCAGTGTGCGAGTCAAACCTCTGATGTCTTTTCGGGGACCTGCGGGTTTCTAGCATTGTAAGACGTTCACCCTGCGCGAAGAGCATGAAGTTGGTCTGATTGAATGCTGCAATCAGGGCCTGGGTTGAGGGGTTGACATTGGCGGACACTGGGATTTCCTGGTACACCGCGAGTTACTCGACCTGCTGGTGCGGGTTATCCAGTGGATTCGGTCGAGTGGAAGAGGAAGCAGTTCATTCATCCCTGAGGTCGGGCTCGTGGATGCCCACGTTGTTGTTGTTATTACCTAGGTCGGCGAAGTGGGCGTTCTGGTCATTGTTGTTTGCTTGAGCGGCCATGATGATCGTGAGGTTGAAAGTTTGCTTTGATCTTCAGTGAGTAAAAGATGAGTTTCCCACAGACGAAACCACTCATCATACCTGACCAGAATGAATCGTCGATGACCCGTAAGCTGAAACTGAATAGTTGTTGAAGTGAAGTAGGAGGAGGGGGTACCTGCAAGACACTCTAATACCAAAGTAAGGTTCATAACAAGTGCAAGTAATGAAAGTATGGAAAAAAGTGGATATCTGACCCTCACATGTGAGAGGATATTTATAGCCTCAGTGCTGGGCCAAGATCTACGCATTGGGCCAAACAGTTAGGTCAATAACATAGATTGCCAAGGTTACGTGTTTATGGAGTCTAACACGTGGTCTCCTCCCTGGTCAACTTCTCTGAGATAATAGGGAAGTTGGACCCGTTATTCTCGGTGGACAAAATGGTGGTGGTTATGGACAGTTCTTGGCCACGTTTGCCTAAGAAGCACGTGGAAAAATCTGTAACAGTTGTCAACGTGGATTGGATGTCATAGGACCTCAGAGGCGATGGATTGGACCTGCTCAACGGTGGACCAAATATCAACCCAGTCCAAAACATCAATCAACTCATATTTGTCCACATCAATTATCAAAATTAATATTATTTAATAATAAACCATACATTTTTCCATTTGTTTCTAGATAAAAATTTAAATAACACTACATTGATTAAAATGTTTAAAACTCCGAAATTTATAAATCCAAGCATTAAGTAATCTCCATAATCTCCGTTGGAGATGCTCTGAGAAGTATACAAATAAGGAAAAATAGGGTCCGGTTTGGGTGAACTGAAAGACGGAAGCTATAAGAAAAACCTTCATCTCCTATGGTTGGAAACATGGCCTCTCTTCTGAAAAACAAGGAGATGCTGTGCTCATTCTCTGCTTCTCAGGAACCAGTTCTTCTTCAACCTTTCTCTGCTTCTCAGGTCAGTTCTTCTTCAACCTTTCTTACTCGCCATTAAAAAAAGATTCAAATAGAAAATCAAAATTCCGACCTACCGGATTCGAACCAGTGACCTAAGGATTTCAGCTTGGTATTCCAACTACAGTCCTCCGCTCTACCAACTGAGCTAAGGTCGGTTGATACTATGAAATCTGTTGTAAATTTTATTAACTAAATGTTCAACTATAGTGCATACCTGCAATCAATTTGTGATTGTCTCTCTTCTTTAACAATCTCATCAATCAATTATCTGATGAGGATTATAGGTCAGTTTTTGCAAACTATGCATACATTTCTCGAGGATAATTAAGTGAGAATAAGAATCTCCAAAAAAAAATTGCAAATAGTTTGTTAGAGTGCCTTTAGCAGGACAATCACTTGGAGGCTTATTGAAACACTGCTTTCTCAATTGTTTAATGTATCCTAACTTTGAGAGTAGTATTGAGGCCTTAGTATGCAATTTGAACGAGGCTCTTTATAGCCTCAAACAAACTCCAAGAGCTTGGTTTGAAAGGCTCAAAACTGCTCTTATCCAACATGGTTTTAGTGCTAGTAAATGTGATCCTAGTCTCTTAATCATCAGAACAACATCCTTAACTATCCTATAATTTTTCCTTTCCATTCACCATAAAAGAAAAAATAACCTTCCTCCCCTCCGGTGAGAAACTCTTCCGCAAAGATTTCTTAACATTGACGGTGCTTCTCCTTCGCAATCTCCGATAACTCTGTTAACCTTTCTTTCTTTCAAAACAAAAAACTACTTATCCTTCTTCCATTTTAAAAGCAATTGAAAAACCAGTTTAATAATTGATTCAAAATAATCAATCAATGAACCACTAATTATTAAAATGGTCCGACCTATCAGATTGTTGATCTAAGGATGACAGCATGAGATAACAATTACAGTCCTTGCCTCTACCAACTGAGCTAAGGACTAATGTCGCTGGATGGATTAACATTGGTGTTAAATATTGATTAACTACTAATTGTTAATCAAAGGTACATTCTAAATTAAATTAAATATTGATTAACTATTAGTGCTAATTAACAGTTTGTTCTAAATTAAATTTAATAAAAATAGTAATTGTCTTGTTCCGTAGTCTGTTTGTTTCTATGTAGTGCTAATTAAAGGTTGACCATTCTGATTTTCCCATTTCTATTACAGTACAATCTCATCACTCAATCATCTTATCCATCAACTTTATGGCGGCCGCGGTTGTTGGTGAAGCTTTTCTGTCTGCTTACATTGAAGTTGTCCTCGACAGGCTTGCTTCTCCTCATGTTGCTGACTTCATCCGTGGGAAGAAAGTTGACATCAATTTGGTCCAAAGGTTGAAGAACACTCTTTATGCTGTCGAAGCTGTGCTTAACGATGCCGAACAGAAGCAGATTCATGACTCTGCTGTTAACAACTGGCTTGATGATCTCAAAGATGCTCTCTATCTTGCTGATGACATTCTCGACCATATCTCTACCAAAGCTGCTATTTCCAAGAAGAACAAGGAGGTGAGTACTGTTAACTACTTCTCTAGCTTTTTCAACTCTGAGGAAAGAGATTTGGGTTGTAAGTTGGAAGATATAGTTGCTAGGCTTGAATACATTCTCAAATTGCAACATATTCTCGGTCTTCAACATATTGCAACTCACCACTCATCCTGGAGATCTCCATCAACCTCTTTAGAAGACAGATCTGTCATATTTGGCAGGGATCATGATAAAGATGCCATACTCAAATTACTCTTAGATGAAGATGATGATGGGATTTCTGTGATCCCCATAGTTGGCATGGGTGGAGTGGGAAAAACTACTTTAGCACAATCTGTGTACAACCTTGACACTATAAAGCAGAAATTCAATGTTCAAGCATGGGCTTGTGTTTCTGATGATTTTGATGAATTGAACGTTGCAAAGGCCATCTTGGAGTCAATTATGGGGAAGGCTTGTAGCACAAATAACAAAGAGTTGCTTCATCGTGATTTGAAGGAAAAACTAGGTGGGAAAAAGTTCTTAATTGTTTTGGATGATGTATGGACCGAGGATTATGACGGCTGGAATTCTCTTTTAAGGTCTCTTCAATACGGAGCTAAAGGAAGTAGAATTCTTGTAACAACCCGTATCCAAAATGTTGCTTCTATACAAACTTTTCATGATTACTCTCTTGAACAATTGTCTGATGAAGATTGTTGGTCAGTGTTTGCAAACCATGCCTGCCTTTCTCGACAAGAATTCAGTGAGAATAAGAATCTCCTTAGAATTGGCAAAGAGATTGTTAGAAAATGTAAGGGATTGCCTTTAGCAGCACAATCACTTGGGGGCTTGTTGCGAAGTAAACGGGACATCAAGGATTGGGATAATATACTAAATAGTAATATTTGGGAAAATGAGAATAATATCATTCCAGCTCTAAGAATTAGTTATCATTATCTCCCTCCATATTTAAAACGTTGCTTCGTATATTGTTCCTTGTTTCCCAAGGATTATAAATTTGATAAAGATGAATTAATCTTGTTGTGGATGGCTGAGGATCTTTTACATCCTTCAGAAAATAACAAGACTTTAGAAGAAGTTGGTCATGCGTATTTTAACGACTTAGCTTCTAGATCATTTTTTCAACGTTCGGGAAGTTGGAACAATAACCATCATTTTGTGATGCATGATCTGGTGCATGACTTAGCAATATTGCTCGGTGGAGATTTCTATTTCAGAACAGAAGAACTTGGAAAAGAAACGAAGATTTGTACCATGACCCGTCATTTATCATTTAGAAGCTTCAGTGGTCCAGTCTTGGAAAGCTTTGATATTTGTGCCCGAGCAAAACATCTTAGGACGTTTTTGACAAACAATTTAAAACTCCCTTCTTCCGATATCAAAAAGGCATCATGCATCATTTTATCCACATTGAAGAGCTTGAGAGTGTTGTCATTTCGCAACTCTCCATGTCTTGATGCATTGCCCGATTCGATATTTGAATTGATCCATTTGCGATACTTGGATCTCTCTTCCACGACGATTACAACTTTACCAGAGTCTTGGTGTAATTTGTATAATCTACAAATGTTGAGGTTGAGCAATTGTCGAGAACTAACTTGGCTTCCCAATGACATGCAAAATCTTGTAAATTTGCGCCATCTTGATTTACGTGGAAGTGATAAGTTAGAAGAAATGCCAGTTGGAATGAGAAAATTAAATCATTTGCATTATTTAAGTTACTTTGTCGCATCCTGCCCCCACTAGGACAACTACACTGTCTTAAGAAATTGAGAATCAGTAGAATGAGTATGGTGGAGATTATTGGATCTGAATATGGTGATTTATTTTCGGAGACACTTTTTCCTTCCCTTGAACATCTTGAGTTCCGTAACATGCCTTGTTGGGAAGTGTGGCATCATCCCCATGAATCATATGCTCCCTTCCCTATATTGAAGATCCTTTTGATTTTTGATTGTCCTATATTACGGGGAAATTTGCCATCTCATCTTCCTGCTCTGAAAGTACTTGGGATTCAACGATGCTACCAACTTGCTTCTTCTCTCCCAAGGTCCCATGTCTTAACTAAACTAGAGGTGTTGGAAAGCAATAAAGTAGCACTACCAGAGATACTACCACTTTCATTAAAAAATTTAAAAACTCAAGGAAGAAAGGTGATAGAGTCCGTGTTTGAAGCCTTCCGAATCACCCTACCAACTTCTCTTTATGATTTAGACTTTAGGGATTGTTCGTCTGCAATATCATTTCCGAGAGATTGTTTGCCCGCATCCTTGCAGTGCCTGACTATCAAGAATCGCGAAAATCTAGATTTCCCAATGCAAAACCACCAACTCAAGTCACTTGGGTATTTGTATATAGAAAGGAGTTGTGATTCTCTTAGAACCCTCCCATTGGAAGCCTTTCCAAATCTTGAATATTTGTGTATCAAAAACTGTGAAAACATAGAATATCTTTCTGCTTTGAAAATTCTTCAAAATCTCGTTAAGATTGATATTAGAGACTGCCCCAATTTTGTATCATTCCCAGGGGAGGGATTGTTGAGAGTTACGTGTTTTAGAATTGGTCTTTCTAGTTGCTAATAAAGTTCCTAAATATTAGGAGTAGAAGTTTTGTTTTAAGTTTGAATTAGTTTTTGCTGTAACTCAGTTCTTCCTAATTATAAGGAGGAGTTATCTTTTTCTCTTTGCACGTTCTGTTATTTGTAAAGCTATTTAAAGCCATGTTTGATTCTGCTATCAATAACAAAATATCTTTTGCATATTCTGTTCAATACTTATCAATTGGCATCAGAGCTTTATCAAAAAGTTTTGATTGAGAGAGAAACACGTGAGAAGAGTGTGAGAGAAACACGTGAGAAGAGTGTAAAGAGAGATGGCAGAAAGTACCAACAATGGTAGCTTTGTGCAACCAGCCATCCCAAAATTTGATGGCTTCTATGAACACTGGGCAAAATTAATGGAGAATTTCCTTCGTTCAAAGGAATACTGGAACCTAGTAGAAGATGGAATAACTGAGATTCCAGCCGGAAGAGAGCCATCAGAAGCAGAAAACAAGGTTATCGCAGAACAACAATTGAAAGACAAGAAGGTGAAAAATTACCTTTATCAAGCCATAGATCGAGAAATTATGTAAACAATTCTGAACGATGATACTTCCAAACAAATTTGGGATTCAATGAAGCAGAAGTTTAAGGGGTCATCAAGAGTTAAGAGAGCACAACTCCAAACCCTACGAACTGAATTCGAAATTCTGAAGATGAAAGAAGGGGAAACTGTCAATGCCTATTTTGGAAGAACACTATCAATTGCCAAGAGGATGAAAGCATGCGGTGAGAGTCTCAAAGAAGCTGATATCACATCGAAAATTCTTCGATCCTTAGTTACAAAATTCAACTACGTGGTATGTTCGATTGAAGAATCAAATAATGTTGATATCTTAACTGTGGATGAACTCCAAAGTAGCCTTTTAATTCATGAACAAAGGATGAAATCATTTGTAGAAGAAGATCAAGCATTGAAAGTTACACATGATGAGCGAGTTGGACGAGGCAGAGGCACGTTTAGGGGTCGAGGACGAGGCAGAGGCACGTTTAGGGGTCGAGGAAGAGGCAGGGGCAGACAATTCTTTGACAAATCTGCTGTTGAATGCTATAAATGTCACAATTTGGGACATTTTCAGTATGAATGTCGTAGTTCAGAGAAGCGGGCTCACTATGCCGAGATCAATGATGAAGATGAAATGTTGTTAATGGCGCAGGCTGATCTCAACGAAGGCAAAATGGAAGGGATCTGGTTTCTTGATTCCGGATGTTCAAACCACATGTCAGGAAACAAAGAGTGGTTCACACAACTTGATGAAACATTTAAGCATTCTGTAAAACTTGGAAATGATTCCAAGCTAATGGTGATGGGGAAAGGAAGAATCAAGCTAGAAGTTGGAGGTCAAACTCGTACTGTAAGTGATGTTTTCTATGTACCTGAATTGCGTAATAACCTGCTCAGTATAGGTCAGTTACAAGAGCGAGGCATCACCATTACTATCAAACATGGAGTTTGCAAATTGTATCATCCTATTCATGGTGTTATAATGGAAAGCATAATGACAGCAAATAAAATGTTTGTTGTTATTGCAAACATTTTAAAATCACCTTCCTGCTTCAACACACAAATTGAAGAGCCAAGTGAAATTTGGCACAGAAGATATGGGCACTTGAGCTATAAAAATCTAGCTTTGCTTCACAATAAAGGGATGGTTCGAGGGCTGCCAGACATCAAAATTCCAACAAAAAGGTGTACAAAATGCATGTTAGGAAAACAACAAAGAGAAGCTATGCCAAAGAAGAGCAATTGGAGAGCCACAAAGAAGTTGCAACTCATACACTCCGACATATGCGGCCCTATTTCGCCTGCTTCGTACAGTAAAAAGAGGTACATATTAACATTCATAGATGATTATAGTCGGAAATTGTGGGTTTATTTTCTAAATGAGAAAAGTGAAGCTTTTGTGACTTTCAAAAATTTCAAAATAATGGTAGAGAAAGAGTGTGGTTTATCAATGTGCAGCCTGAGAACAGATAGAGGAGGAGAATTCAACTCTAAGGAATTCTCAGAATTTTGCAAAACACAAGGCATAAGAAGACAGCTCACTACAGCATATACGCCTCAACAAAACGGAGTTGCGGAGCGCCAAAACCGTACTATCCTCAATATGGTGAGATGTTTGCTTGAAGAGAAAAACATGCCCAAAATGCTTTGGCCAGATGCTGTGAAGTGGACGTGTCATGTTCTCAATCGGAGTCCAACTGCTTCTTTGAAGAACAAAACTCCAGAAGAATGTTGGAGTGATCTAAAACCGAATGTTGAATATTTCAAAGTGTTTGGGTGTGTTGGAAATGTGCATATACCAGATGCAAAGAGATTAAAATTAGATACAAAAAGCCAAAAGCAGGTTCTGATTGGCTATAGTGAAGAGTCCAAAGGTTACAAAATGATCAATCCTTTTACAAAAAAAATCACTATCAATAGAGATGTGATTTTTGAAGAAAATGAAGGATGGGATTGGGAGAGTACAAAAGAAGAGACAAGGGATATACTTGATTGGGGTGAAGCTTATGAGGAAAACTTCAATCAAGATGAAGAAAGTAAAGAAGAAGAAGAAGAAGCAAATTTAGATGAAGGTGGTACAATAGATGAG